CCACTACTCCAGCACTGTACAGTAAGTGTACCTGAAATGTCTTCTTAGTGCCCTTCTGCGAAGATTTTCCCGTGGCCCAGGGTTTCGCAATCGCGCCGGTGATGATGGACGTATAGTCACTCACCGATCGCCCGTGTTTCTTCTTGCCCGCCGTGGGCGTGGTTGGCATGGCAACGGCCTCACTATCGCTCTCCTCACCACCAGAGATGCCGATTACCGACGACTGCGCCTGCACACCCTTCAGCGACGCCTTGCTCCCGTGGCGACTGCCCTTTTTGACTGCACCCGGGTGCACGTGTCCCGGGGCCGGTGCACCCACAGGCGCCTGTGTCTCATCCTCCGTACCTTCGCCTATAGTGGGGATATGCTCCATACTATCATCCTCGTGATCTGTCTCACTCAGCACATCACTCACACACTGCGACGCTCTCTGCACGGCCTGTTGCTGCCGTAGCTCCTTGCACGTGGCACATAACCGTAACCCACCCCCATCACTCATCACTGGACTACGCGCCAGTTCGGTACCTGCGGTTGCGGTTGCGGCTGCCGTTGGCTCCGGGGACTCTGCGGTTAATAACACAGGCGCACTGATACTAAGACCACTACCAATGGCCAACCCGAAACTGGAGGTGCGTTTGTGACTGCACTTTTTGACCCCGGATGAGTCGATAGCTAAGCGAAGAGAGAGAGAGAGAGAGAGGATGTGTTGAATAGGCAATAAAGGGCATCTGGAAATCAGATGTATGTGCACACACAGTGTATGGGACATGTACATGCACAGGATTCATGTGACCAGTGACTCATGCAGCACATACACACACATAAACACACACACCCTTACCTAAACATACACACAAACACACATATTCGTATCTTAAACCCCAAATAAACACGCACACATGCACACGACACACAAACACACAAACACACAAACAAAAACACACACAATCCACACACAAACAAACAAACACACACACACACACACACACACACACATGCACACAAACACACACACATACACACACACAACACACACACAACCACACACACAAACACACCCACCCTAACCTACACATACACGCGTACAAACACACATATTCGTATCTTAAACATCAAACACACACGCACATACACACACACAAGCACACACACAAACACACACACAACCACACACACAAACACACACACAACCACACACACAAACACACACACGACACACCAAACCACACCACACCATACCGATTGCGGCCACAGCGTCCTTCTCCTTCTTCGACACGAGAGGCGCACACGCATTACACATGACCCCCCCACACCCTCTGCAGTGGTGGCGGCGGTTGATGACAGTGAACTTCACAGCACATTGCATGCATTCCTTGGCGTGTGCGTCAGGCACCCACACCGGCGCCACGGTAACGGGCTGGTTTGATTGGCTGGCCAGCGAGCCCATGGACGCGATGGATGGCCGGTGCGTATTTTCTGTGATATGATTGGTGGCGGCCGAGAGGCGGCGCGAGTTCGCTGCGTTTTCATTGGATGGTGCGAGCGGGAGGACGCATTCTGATTGGCTGTTTAAGAATACGGCGCCCTGGAGTGTGTTGTCGTGGTGGTGGTTGTTGGCTGCGTGTATGAAGGATTCTCTGTCCAGTAGTAGTGAGCTGAACGTCTCCTGTACGAGACCGTACCACTCGTGGGCCGCCTCAGGACACTGTGCAGATGAATAGATGGTGCAGCCACAGGAGAGGGGTGAATAGCAGGTGATAGGGGGGTGGTACTGCTGTAGTACATATGCGTACATCCAACCATCTAAGGTACATCCTTCCTACTGTAGTATATTTTCATACATCCAACCATCTAAGGTACATCCTTCCTACTGTAGTATATTTTCATACATACAACCATCCAAGGTACATCCTTACTACTGTAGTATATTTTCATACATCCAACCATCTAAGGTACATCCTTACTATTGTAGTATATTTTCATACATCCAACCATATAAGGTACATCCTTGCGGATGGTGGTACTGCTGTAGTACATATGCGTATATCCAGGGTGTTGGTATGTTGATAAGTGGTCGGTAAAGCCGTGGAGGTATTGGTGATGGGAAGTGTTGGACTGATGCTTGCGTACCACCTCACATGGTTTATGGTTATAGGGTTTAGGGTTCATCCCTGTTTTGATTCTTCTTTGGAGACTACGTGCGCATGAGGCTGTCAACGAACCAACCTGTGTTAGTCAATGCAGAAAACACCTCATCATGGAATAGCTATACGTTCAATCGTGCACACGAGAGACACACCTTAAAGTAAACCACGTGCACACGACACACACACGTTGAAGTAAGTCATGTCCACACGACAGACACACCTTAAAGTAAATGGCAAAGCTCTTGGCCGGTGACAAAATGCGGACGTTGTGCTGGTAGCGCTTGTTGGTCTTTACATCGATCTCGCCGAGCTGGTTGCAGTGTTGTAGGTAAGTGTATTTGGAACATGGACCTATTATAAGCCTATGTGTGGCATTTACGAATAAGTTTGTAATAGTAACCACCTTTAGATATGATACGTACCATGTGGTTATGTATGTATGAAGTGAAAGTATGAGAATGCACTGTCGGGCCAAGGGCTGTGAAACAATTACGTTGCAGCTGGTATTCATCTTTGTCGGTAACAAATATCTGTATTCATGTCATACTGTTAAATCTATCTCTGCATATGTGACTACATAGGCGTATATACAAAAATACAGATACACTCTTATGGGCGTATTCGGGTGATAGCCCTCTAATAGCAACACAAACACACAAACACACACACACACACACACTCTCTCTCTCTCTCTCTCTCTCACACACATATATATATATATATAAATATTTATATGTATATACATATAATATACATACATACATA